ACTTGGCCGCTGCTCAGTGGGTATTTGGTTCTTTACTAGAGACCTCTGCTCACATCATCAGTGAATGCTGAGTGTTGTCCATGGGGGTCTCTGATGACTCTTAGGGAAACGCCCAGCAACTCCCCCATAGGAAATACATTTCCTACAGTCAATGTGATTGTAAACACAGATACACTTGTAGAAATTGGACCTGAGAAACCAGAATGTAAATTGGTTTTTAAAAAACTTAAAAGCTCATTTTTTATTACTTTTTGTTCCATATTTGAGTTTGCCTTCATTAAGTCCTTTATTTCTGTCTGTGATGAACTCATTAACATGACACAGGAAATAAATATCAATTAAGTATTGATATTGTGACTTCATGTTGCTTGATCCTGATAATTTCCCTTTCTTCAGATGTCTATAATTTAGAAAAACATTTTCACAAAATGTGGTATGAAGGAAAATAAGGAATGCACGATGTATCATGACGTAGATGATGCCATATTAAGGAGGATTCATCTTTCCTCCTGCTACACTCAGATTCTAGGTTACAGTCCAGTGGAGATGTGTGCACTGTACTCCAGACCTAGTCTGCAGTTCCAACTGGCTGTGTCCCCAATCCCAGCAGAGCTGGTCCACTTTGTGGAAATGCCTGTCTTTTAACTTAGCTGAGCTACATTAGGTTCAGGGGTCATCTCTCACATGAAGATCATCTTGAAGGCTGTGTAGGGACCTTCCTGCATGTTGGAACTGTCACAGTGGCTGCTATAGGATTGGGCAGGTTTTATTAAGTACACCGGGAAATACGGACTATTCTGTTGCTAAAACGGGTGTGCAAGCAATTTATTGTGAATCCATGACTATTGTGTGAAGTACTTTCAAAATGAGGGTGTAAATAATATCTAAAGTAAAGGCTAGAGCAAATCTCCTAGACTGACCTAAGTTTGGAGCAGGAAGGTGTCTCACATAGAGCCTGGGGGACTTTTCTCAACATCCTTCAGGCTCTTGAAAACACACTCCACACTGCCATCTGGTGAGAGGAAAAATATTCCCTCACCCGGGGAGGGATGAAAGCTGGAGAGCCAGAGTTTACAGGGCTGGTATTTCCAAACAGCACGGAAGTGACTTGCATGTCTGAATTGTAGGTTTATGGCCCGAGCAGAGATTTCATAGTTAGAGATGGTGAGGAAAGAAAGCTGCAGAAGGTAAGGGTTAGATGTAAATATATGTAAGTGCCAGGATTCTTCCAGGCACTTGGGGCATAGTTTTTGCGGTGACCCTTGGGATCCAGTGGTGCCCACCGTGATTTCACCAGTTTCCTTCCTAATGGCGTCTTTGTGCGTCCGTGGGGCTGAAGGTTCACCTGTTCTGTTTGTGCTTCGAGGAGCCAGCCCTGCGGCTCCTCCATGCTTTCTTACTGCTTTCCATTCTCCATCGTGTTCATTTCCGTCTCCATGGTTCCCCTCCTTCATTTCCACCCAGGTTTGCTGCCTTTGGAGCATCTCCAGGGTCTGCATTAGGTTATTGATTTGTGCTGCCTCTGTCCCGGAGAGCTCCCCCAGGCTGCTTTCCTGGTGTCCATTGCTGCCCCTGCTCTGCTGTGCCCACGCTGTCCCTGGACCCCAGCACTGTTGGGTGTCTTCCTTGGTTTCCCTGAGGCGCCCATCCAGGAGCGTGGGGCTAGGTTTCTGGTGTCTCCTAGTTTTCTGTGCCCTCCTCTGCCAAGGGCAGCTCTGATTCTGTGACATTCATGTCCACGGGTGTCAGGAGCTGACCCGCAGTTGTTTGGAGGAAGCCCCATGTGCTGTGGGGAAGACCGTGCTGGCTTAGGAGCAGGGGAAGGCGCTGTCAGGGTCTAGGGAGTGTGTGTACCCTAAGCCCTGGCTGTGGCCATGCCATGCTGTGGCTTTTGTTTAGTTGACGTGTCTCTTCTCAAGGGCTGGTATTGAGGTCCCCGCTGTGATCACCTGGATGTTTATTTAGTCTTCTGTGTCCATGGTGTTTGTTTCATGAGGAGTAAAAAGATTTAAACTGTATCCTGCCCGTGTGCCAAACACCCACAGTGAATGTCAGTGTCCTGTATTATAAACAGGAACAATAATAATAAAATTAACAATAATAATAACAGTGAGAGTGGGGAGAGGGTGTAGAGCTGGAGCGGGCAGGAAGGGAAGAGAAAGAATCAGAACCATCCAAGCTCTGTGCAGCCTCCTGCTCCCCAAGGAGAAGGCCAGCCTTAGGCACTGTGAATGTGGGCTCCTAAAATACAGACTGTGCCCTTCTGAGGTCAGACTGTCCCCATGCTGGTCATAGCTGCCCAGGCTGTGTGTGAGCCGGGCATTGGCTCTCCCTGGGGAGGGCTTTGTCTTCTCTGCTGTGGTCTCTGTGCCCTGTGATGTTTCCTGGCCTTGCAGAGGCCTTTTCCCTTGATGTGTCTCTCTCTGCTCTCTCTGGTTGTGTGGCCTGTGTTTTGGGGTGAATGTCCAAAACAGCTCTGCCCACCAGTGTCCTGGAGCTGCCCTGGGTGGCCTTTCCCCATTTAGGGTCTTGATATTTTTAATCCATTTTGAGATGAAATTTGTACGTGATCTGAGCTGAGTGTCTCATTTTATTCCTCATAGGTGAGTGTTCAGCTTCCCGACATGGTTTATTGAAGCGGCCTTTCTTTCCACAGTGAGGTGTTTTGGGGGAATTGGTCAAAAGTCAAATTCCAGTAAATGTGTTTGGTTTATTTCTGGACTCTCTGTCCTGCTCCATGGGTTCTATGCCATACCATGCCATTTTGATTGCTGTGTTCCATCATATAGTTTGAAATCAGGTCGTGTTGCGATGCCCCGGGATTGCTTTGGCCACTCAGGGTCTCTCGAGTTGCACATGAATTTTAACTTGTTTTTCTGTTCTGTGGGAATGCGGTTGGAATTTTGGTAGGGATCGCATCGGGTCTAGGGATTGGTGCGTGTGGCAGGGACACTGGAGAATGATGGTGCTCCTAATTCGCAGACACAGGAGACCTTCCCACTTCCTGTGCCCTGGTGTTTTCTCCCATCAGTGCGTCACGGTTTCAGTGTGCAGTGCTCGCTTCCTTGGCTAAATTTCCCCCTGAGATGTTTCCGGTTCCTGTAAATGGATCGTTTGCTCCGATTTTTTCTGAGTTCATTGTCAGCGGACAGCACCACTACAGAGCTCTGGGTGCTGATTTGCGTCCTGCAGCTTATGGGACTGGTTTATGGCTCTGGTCTTCACGGAGCCCTGCCTGTCAGCACCCAGGAGACCATTCCACCTCCCCTCTTCTCCTCTGCTGCCTCTGGCTCCCTGCTGCCTGGGCCCTTGCCCTGGCTTCCAGGACTGCGCTGGACAGAGGAGGCGAGTGTGGCGTCCTGTCCTGCGCTGATCCTGGAGGAGGCCACCTGGGCCCCTCACCGCTGGGGGGACGATGGCCCTTCCCTCCTGGAGGCTCCGCTTGGGCTTTTTCTTTAAGACCAAGGTTTCTACTTGGTCTTTTTCCTCTTTAGATGTGGGCTGTCCTTACCGTGGCCGCTTCACTGTGCAGAGGAGGCCTCCCCTCACCCCGCAGGGGGTGTCCTTCTGTAATGACGCCGAGATTCCTCCCAGGATTTTCTCGGAATCTGTGGATAGAAGCAGTGTGCTTTGTCCTCCTCCTTACAGGGGCCGCTGCCCTTACTGACTTTCCATGTGAGCTCAGCCCTCTGTGGGTGATGCCCAGCCAGTGCATCCTCCATGGTCTGGCCACCTTCCACTGGTTCACGCCTTGCTGGGAGCTTTGTCCTCTGTGCCCTCAGGGACCCAGTCCCTCCCTGCCTTGGCTTCATTTGGCTCATGGGTGAACGGGGCGAAGCTGCCCAAAGGCTGAGCACAAAGCCTCGCTGGCAGGGTTTTCCCACTGTGCTTGGTGGCCTCCCCCTCGTGTGTGTGTCACATCTCTGTCACCCGCACTTAAGACACAGTGAGCTGGAGACACCTGCTCCCTATGTGAGGAATGTTGTCACCAGGAGCTCTATCAGTTTAGCCCATGCGGGTCCTCACCTGGCCTGTCCTCAGAGCCCGCTCCTGCCCGCTGTGCTGCTTCCCAGAGAGCTAGCTCGCTGGGTCCCAAGGCTTCAGACCTGCAGGAGACACTGGTCCAGTGTGGCCCTGAGACCAGGACCCAGGCCTGGGGCCACCAGGCAGCCCTGCTGTGCAGCACTTCAGTGGCAGCGGGGAAGAGGGACTTCTGCCCTTTGTGACTCTTTCAACCCTGATCAAACACGGAGGAGCCTCCCTTACCTGCTGAGATTTTACCTCTTAACTCATTTCCCTCCTTCACGTGGTTCGGAAATTCGTGTCTGTATCAGAAAAGTACACGTGGAGAAGTCTTTCCTACAGGCCCGATTCACCATTTCACATCTTTGGTGCTAGTTTCTGATTTGCCACCTTAATGCTTCATGGCAAAACAAACTCTTTCACACCTGTGCATGTTTGTGTTTCACTTATGTGTGTTATGCATGTACACAGGAGCACACCTATGTGGGTGTATACATAAACACGTGAACATGCTCTTCTCACATGAAAGCTGGGAGCCCCACAATTTGCATGGAGCTTTCCCGACTGAGCCGTGTCACAGAGCTGGCCCCGTAGGGTACAGACAGATTTCCCTATTTCTGTCCGGGTGTCTTGTGCTCTGCAGCAGGGATGGGCTCACACCGAATCACCACTTGGCGCTTCTCATGAATACAGTGTTTATGTGTGGAGAGCGGGTGCTCAGGGGCAGGTTGAGTAGGGAGCCTGGGTGAAGGATGCCAGACCCCCAGCCCACCATACCCCCACTGCGGCCTTTCGCCTGTGCTGTAAGAAGCAGTGCAGGCTTTGCTGGGGACGGGGTCTGCAGAGAGGGGCAGGCCTTCCCAGGGCTCCCAGCACTGCCTGCACTGCAGCCTTGGCCGGAAGAGGGCTATGCCCTGTGCTGTTCGCAGCCCTGCAAGGAGGGCGGCTAGGCTGATGCCAGCTCCCATTCCAGGCTCATGGGAGAGACGTTGGGGAACATCTCGAGAGGCATCAACATCGTCATGGTCAGCTGTGAGTCAGTGCATCCTTCCCCAGAGTCCGCAGGGCCCCAGAGGGATTCTTACAGCAGCCCTGGGTTTTCAGGCTGTATTTTAGCGCACTTTACAGTTGTATAGTTAATTCTACACTCTTAGTGGCTCCAGTGACAATAGAAAGTGACCGGAAAGCTGGGTATAAAGGGCTGTGCGGTCAAACCAAGGCTGGGCAGAGGAGGCCCCCGCAGGCCCAGCTGAGTGGCCGTGCTGGGCCAGGGCAGTGATGGGGCTGCTGCCCCCCTCCACCCAGAGCTGGGCGACACTGTCTGCCTGTCTCCATCCTGTGACCCAGGGCCCGTGGAACTCAAACTTTGGATCCTATGAGGGGCAGCAGACCCCTTGGGTCCCAGCAGAGGAGCCAGGGCAGCTCAGAGACAGAGTTCCCTGCAGTGTCCCTGGGCAGGCTGGCAGTGAGGGCGAGTGTCGGCAGGGCTGGGCGCATGAGACAAAATGCTGCCAGACCAGGAGCCCTGGGCACCCTGTTGTCAGGGCAGGAAGGACCAAGGGGGTGGAGGGAGGAGCTGTGTTGAGATTCGCTCTGCCTAAAGTCCTCAAATCACAGTGCCCTGTGCAGTGGCCCCAGGTAGATAGTAGCGCATCTCACACAGGCTTAGAAGTGTCCTCTGCTCTAGCAGCAGGTGAAGGGACAGTGGAAACGTGGTATTTGCACACCATGGAGTACTACTGTGCCATGAAGAAGGGCAAAGCTGAGTCTCCTGTAGGCTAGTGGATGCCCCTTGAGACTGTCATATCAAGTGAAATTTACCAGACGCACACTTAAATGTCACCTGGCCTGTCTCACAGGAGGACCCAGGGCATAAATAAGTCAGAGAGCAAGACAGAAGCTAACAGGAGACAGGGAGATGGGTCCATTGAAAAGGGCAGGGAACCCGAGGGAGGGAGGAAGGGAGGGACAAGGAGGAGAAAGCACTGAGGTCCCTGCGCATCTCCCCGGAATGCAGCCCTCGTGGCCCGCAAGCAGGCATGAATGACAGAACAGTGGGAGGGACAGTTCAGAGCAGCTGCCTGGGGCTGTCCTTGTCCTCTTCCCCCATGGCTGGACCGTGCTCTCTCTCAGCTGTCTGTTGATGGACACAGGGCAGAAGCATGCCCTTGGGGCCCTGGTCCACCGGCCCTGCCCCTGCGAGCTCACTCTGAAACGTGGTCTGTCACTTGCAGATGTGACCAGGAAGGTGATAGCAGCCCGAACCTTCGATATGTACGCAGGCAGTTAGGGAGCATGCGTCTATCACAGTGCAGGTGACTGTGATCATCCCTGGGCAAACCGTGGAGGGAGATCGAGGCGCCAGCTCAGGAGAGAGCAGGATCCCAGTCTGCATCCCAGTCTGCACTGCAGGATGCACTGTGGCATCCTGGGTTCAGGCCCCGCCCGGGCAGCTTAGTGATCTAAGCAGCCAGGACCCCAGCGATGACAGGAGCAGTAAAAAGGGTGGTGGACCTGGCTCATGCAGAGCCCTGGGTCCACTGTCCAGTGTCGGGGGGAAAGAGACGTCCCCGGGGGCCCAGCCTGGAGGACGCAGACAGCACCTTCGGGTCCGGTTTCTCCTAGGCATCTCCTGAGGAGCTCTGTCCAGCTCCAAGGAGCCTGTCCTCTGGCGTCCCTGTCACTCATCCCATAGTCCTGCAAGGCATCCATGCAATGCACCCCTCCTAGTCCCCAGGCATTGGTGGGAAGTGTGAGGGCCATGGTTGCTGGTCATGCCCAGCCCTGGTGGTCAGGGGTTGGTGCACATGAGGAGGCTGAGGCAGGAGGGCAGGCCCCGTGCCTGGGGAGGACCCTGACCCCCTCTCTGTGGCCCCCAGATAACTCAGCACCCATGATCCAGTTCATTCAGAGCGCACCTGCAAAGTCCCTGCTGCTCATGGTGACCCATGAGGATGGAAGCACCAGGTGAGAAGGGACAGAGGAGCCACAAGGGTTCCCCAGCCTCATCCTGGGGTGGAGTGAGGGGGACAAGTAGCCTGTGGGCCCCAGGCTTCTTGAGGGAAGAGGAGTGGCAGGCGGTGACCAAATGGGGCGGGCAACTCACATCTGATTGCTAACCAGAGTGTGGGGAGCTCAGGGCAGCAGCCACAGTGGGCGGACACAGCTCGGCCTCTCCGGGCAGGAGACCCAGCCCCAGGGGGACACATTTCTGTCCATGGGTAGCAGAAGGGGCAGGCTGGCCTGTACATGCACACACCCCTTCCGCCCTGCAGTTCCCAAACACATCTGACCTCAGAGTGCTTGAAGATTTTCCTCCCCTCACACAGACTTTGCTGTAGTGGGTTGGAGGCCCTTGCGATCTTCACTGGGACAAAGGCCAAGCATGAGGGCCTTGAAAATCAAGGGCAAAGATTCTGGGCCCCAGGCTGAAACCAGCTGGATGGGGTGTGAGGCCTGTCATCCCAGCACAATCTGGAGGCTGAGGCAAGAGGGCTACAGGTTTGAGCCCAGCCCTTGTCTCAGAGTAAAAAAGAGGGCAGGGAAGCAGCTCGGTTCAGAGGCCCTGTTCTCAATCCCCAGTGTTGTAAACGGGGGCTCTGGGTAGGACCCAGTGTCAGCAGATGCGGCTCCCCCAGCTCCCCTGCGTCTTCAGCTACTGTTGGCACCAATCCAGGGATAGCAGTGGACACAGCAGGGCTGGGGCCATGCTTATACCACCCTGTTTCGCCTGCAGACTCAAGGCTGAGGCCAGGAAAGCCATTGAGACGCTGGGAAGCATAGAGATCCGGAATGTGAGCTTCAGGTCCAGCTGGGTCCTGGTACAGAAGGTCAGGCTCCCGCAGCCCCTGCTCTGGGGATGGGGACAGTTCCCAGGTTGGTAGAGGTGAAGGCCTCAAGGGTACAGGCACCGAATAAGTGCTCCGTCGTCATGAGGCTCTTCAATTGCTTGTTTTTCTATTTTGAGACAGAGTCTCACATGAGCTCACTAGGATGCCCTGGAACCCACTGTGTAGCCTGTGCTGGTCTCAAACTCACAGGGACCCTCCTGCCTCGCATCCCGAGTGCTGGCATTATAGATGCTGAGCTCCTGGTGCTATTTTAGTGACCTGTCCTGGGGTTGATTGCACCCCGCCCCTTTGTCAAAGTAAAGGCGCAAAAGAAGGGCATCCTAACTCTGTGAACTCCCAAGTGGCCGTGAGGTCTAGCAGAGTTTGGCAGAGGCAGGCAGTGGACACCTCCGGGGTCTTCACTGCAGCCTCTCAAGCCAGCAGAAGAGAGCAGGTTCAGGGGCAAGAAGTGGACTTCGGGCTGTGCAGTGAGTGTCCAGTTCCATGGGGGGCACTCAATCACTTCGGGCTCGACTTGGATGCTGGGCCCTGGGTCTGGTCACAGGGTCAGCAGGGATGGACGGAGCAGCCTGACCTGGTAAGGTGTAGGATGGGGGCTAGGGGAGGTGAGACCCGTGGCCTTGGAGGGACCCTGTAGCCTTGGGCGCTGGGGTCAGACTGTGGCTGTCCTCGCACAAAGTCCACCATGGTGCAGGATGGGTCAGGTGGTTTTCCAGGGCCCTGCCTGGGCTGCTCCTCACCTACTGTTGCCTCTGGCTCTGCCATAGGCACTAGCTGGGAGTGCCCCGGCCTCTGATGCCCTGACCCGTACAGGTCGAGGGGAGCCCAGCTTGAAAGGCTGTGGTCAGGTTTGCCGGGCATGTACCTGTCCTGTGGAGCATTCCTCAGGCCCAGGTGCTGTGCCACGGCAGCACCCCACAGGCCAGCACTGAGGCCCCAGGTCCCAAGCCTGCTAGGACATGTAGCACAGCCTGAGGTGGTCAGGGTGCCCTGGCTCTGTGCTCCGGGGCTGGCAGTGTGACCTCTCAGGACCTGGGACCCTTGCCTGTAGGAAAGGGGGAGGTCAGTGCCAGCATGGTCCTGTGAAGCACCAGGGTTAGCTCGGCACGGTGGTGCAACCTGCACCCCGACCTCAGGAGGCTGAGGCGGGCTGATGGCCAGGCTTGACTTGCAACAGGGAGTGAGACTGTTCAGTGAGATGGGGACGGATTCTTCAGGGAATGGTGCCGGGAAAGACGGACGTCCATGTGTAAACCAAACAGATACAAAGGTTAACACAGCATGGACTGCATACCTGGGCCTCACCACTGGGACATTCAGATCCCGGGAAAGGCAGATGCAGATCTGTGTGACCTGGGATCAGCCAGCGATTTCTTAGAGATGGAACCAGTAATGACACAGCAGAAATAGATAGATTGGTCTTTGTCAAAATTAAAGGCTTTTCTGCCCCCAAAGAACACTGCGGAGTAAACAGCGCATAGAGTGTGAATACCTGGAAATAACAGACCTGGGTTCGGAATACAAACAGAACTCTTCCTTGCTTCCTTCCTTCCTTTCCCTTCCTTCTTTCATCCCTTTCTCCTTCCTCCCTTCCTTCCTTCTTGCTTCCTTGCTTCCTTTCCTTTTTTCGAGGCAGGGCTTCACTGTGCAGTGCCTTGAACTCATAGAGACCTTGAACTCCTGGAGACCCTGCTGGCTCAGCCTCCTCAGTGCTGGGCTATGAACAGGCTGTGTACATAACTCTCACAGCCTGACAGTAAGAAGTGCACAGTTTCACATTGGATGCAGGGCTGACAGGGCTGGAGTAAATGTTTCCTCAGAGCCACTGCGTGGATGGACGGGTGTGATCATCAGTGGTGGGAAGAAGGCGAATGAGAGTGGGCAGGAGAGGCCACCCGGCCCTGCGCTGGGGTGGCTGCTGTGCTGAGGAGAAACCATCTGCCTTGGCTGCGGATGAGACGCGCGATGGTGGCACTTGGGGCCATTCCTCGAAGTTGGGGAAGTGAACTTGGGAGCTGACGGGCACCCTCAGGTCCCCACCGAGACAGTGGGGCACCTTCACCCTGGCCCTGGGCTCAGAAGCAGCATCAGAGTCCACCAGACACAGCCACGGTGCCAAAGCAGGGGTTGAGCCAAGCTTCTGGGTCTTCCTCCATCCTCGCCACCCTGGGACGAGCCTCCAGACCTCATGGCTGGTGACAAAAGCCAAGCACACAAGTTAACCCATGGGAGACTCCTGTGTGATCTCCAGGGTGCAGGGCCCTCAGGGTCAGGGGCAAGATGGCTGCTCAAGGGTCTGCAGGTCCTCGTCGGATGAGGAAATGCTTGGGAACTGACCAAAGGGGCAGCCGGGCGTCCTGCTGCTCTGTGTAACCATGTGGTACTGTCACTGGATCCGGAGCTGTGCACTGTGGTACATGCCCAGCCCTTTTGGAGTTTTTGAGACAGAATCTCGCTAAATTGCCCCTGCTGGACTTGAATTTCTGATCCTCCTGCCTCAGCCTCCCAGAGTGCTGGTGTTATAGGTGTGCACCACCACACTGAGCCTTAAAGGTGCATCTTATCTCCAGCTCCCACGAGGAGGTCACTGCAAATCTGGATTAGTAAAAACTAAACCTTTTTAAAAATTCAAGGAGAAGAAAGATCCATCCTGCTCTCAGACCTAAAAACCAAACCCCACAGCTGTTTTCCACCTTGGATAGGGGCAGCCAAATTTGCATTTGCATTTTAATTTAGTAAAATTAAAGAGAATCTAACTGCTGATCCTCCATCCACGTTTCCTAGCTTAGTGTGGTGGGCAGCACGAACATCACTGTTGTCACAGAAAGTCTGAGGCTTCACTCTGATGTCATTGAGAATCATGATGCAGGAGCCAGGTGTGGTGCACACCCGTAATCCCAGCCCTTGGGAGGCTGAGTCATGAGGATCACTGTGAGTTCGAGGCCAGTTTGGGCTACACAGTGAGTTCACTCCTAGCCTGAACTGCATAGCGAGAATTTGTCTCAAAATGCAAAAAAAAAAAAAAAAAAAAAAAAAACCAAAACAAAAAACGAAAACAAAACAAAACAAAACAAAAAAAACAAGAATCATGTAGGGGGACTTGGCTGTTGGCTGCCCCCCTATTCCAGTGGAGCCCGCTCTGGGAGGTCGCTCTGTCCTGTCCCTTTGCTCAGGGCTCACCTAGGCTAAGCCTCTGTCCATCCACTGTCATAGTGAGTAATGGGACTCTTCCTCTGCCCTCCCGCAGATCAACCACTCTGACAGTGCCAAGAACAGGTACTGTGGCTGGCCGGCAGAGGTCCAGATTGAGGGCTGCGTACCCAGGGAGCCCAGCTAGTGCTACACATGCTCAATATACGTGTTGGTATGGCCTGAGAAGCTGCTAGGTCCGAGGGTCCCTATGTGACGAGTATTTAGAGCTTGGTGTCAGCCAGGACAGTTCTGGCTTTGTGAAGTCACAGCACATGACCAAACCACCATGTGGCACTCGCCGAGGTGCCCCAGGCTGGCCAAGACAGCCCTGCGAGTGCCCTGCCCAATGTCAGGGTCACTTCACCCTGCTCCCTCTCTGGGGGCTCCAGCAGGGCTGTAAGGTAGCAAACTCTTGGAAATGCTGACATGAGCCTCTTGTGAGGGGACACAGCTGGGCCCCTTAGGTGGAAGTAAGGTCCAAGGGTCTGCCTTTGGGGTTCTTGTGGGGTTGCCATCACCAACAGCCCTGTTGCCAGCCTGTGCTGGCCCTGCAGGTCTCCACTGCTTGGGAGGGAGAGGCCACCTAGGTGCTGGCAACATGGTCACTTAGTGTTTATGGAGCTTGGAAGTCCTACCAAACCTAAGGGACCCAGTGAGAGATCTCCATGGTGGTGCAGAAGTCAGGTGACAGAAGAAGCCCTTGGGGGCGGGGGCAGGGGACTGTTGGATCCCTTTATAGCGTGGCAAGGTTCTGCAGACCCAGGTGAGATCCTGATCAAACTGCAGAAGCAGCAGCAGCCCTGTGTAGATTGGGGAATTTGTACCCGGGAGAAACCTGCACAGCCCCAGCCTCCTCCAGCCTTAGTCAAGTTAGGAACCCCCAGTTCTGCATGGCACAGGGCATGTTTCACTTCCCCACTTCACTTAGAGACACCTGGGATGTGTGGGGGTCATGGTGACACTGCCCAGGTTACTCTTAGGGGACCTGCAAGCTGATTTTTCTAAAAACACTGATGCCACTTGGGCCTGCAGGCATCTGGGAGGTGACTAAATGGGCTGGCGGTGTGACATCTCAGTCTTCATGTGACATTGCTGTCCCTTTGACATCGGGTCCCTGTGGTCAGATTCAGCCAAACCCAGCATATATATGAGTTGATCATTGAAAACCACACTGTTCCAGCTTGTGACATGGGCTAAATTGGCTCCTTCATCTCTGCCTACATCTGTCCATCCACACATCCTCTATCCATTCACCTACTCCCCATGCAGTCATTAATCCATCTCTCTCCCATTCTCCGTCCATCCATCTCCCCTCCCCCACCATCCTCCATCCATCCATTCATCTCTACCCATCCTCCACCCACTCATCCATTTCCCTGTCCATCATCTCCTTAGCCACCCACCCCCCATCAACCCATGCATTCATCTCTCCCTCCATCCTTCATCCTTCTGTCTTTCCTGCATCCATCCATTCATCTGTTCCCCTTCTATCTCCCAGTATCCATCCATTCAGTCTCCACCCCATCTATCCCCCAGTTGTTCCTCATCCCTGTCACCCATTCCGCCATCCTTCTGTGTCTCCTCCCCTCTCACTAAAACTTGTTTGGCCTGAGCTGGTGGTCACTTTTGCTAGCTTCTCCATACACATATGTGATTGTAGTCAGGGTTTGTAAGAGAAGAGAGTCAACACAGAACACTTAATTTATAGGATGATCTTCTGATAGTCACCAAAAAGTCAAATGCAGAAGGGTGCCAGGGATCTGTTCACACACTAGTTCACCATATAATCCAGCTGAGGGCCTGGATCCCGCAGCAGTGTCCTCCATGAGTCCAGCTCAGGGAGCCCATAACAGTGTCTGACACAATCTGCATAAATCACCTGCACTATGAGGGCCCAAAGGGCAGTGGGGGAAGACAGACAGTCTGTGCCCGCCGGATGTACAAGCTGGGCAGGCAGCCTGTGGATCACCAGAGCCAGGAAGCAAGGCTCAGGGTAAGTAAGAACCAGGGCTCCCCTGAAGAGAACCACCGCCTCCCCAATGACAGGGAGGACCTGAGTCCTCTGAGGATGACAGCAGCTGAGTTCCTATCAGGAAGCCAGTGTGACAGCTTCTCCAGGAGAAGCAACATTGGCCCACCTTCCCCTCCATCCTCTTCCTATGCTGTTGGCAGTGATCCTCAGGGGGCCTTCCACAGCCAGCCCCAGACCCACTCAGTTCAGCTGGGTGACCAGTAGTTAATCCACTACAAGCCATCCCTGGTCAACTTGATGACCAGACACATTTCCTTAAACAGTAATCTCCAGGGGCACATTTGTTAAAAGGTCTATTCCAATTTGCAGTAACTTAACAATTGCGTACATACAATTCTTACACACTCAGTTCCACACCGGAAACAAATAATCAAGTTTAAGACCACAGTGATAAGATTGTAGGGCATCCAAAACATGAGAAGTATAAAACAAAAGAGGCCTTTATTCTGAGAACTCAGAGAGAAAACCAAATACCCCCTCCCCACCACCACCACTAAAGTCTGGCTTTCTCTGTCTGGAGGACATGTTATGTGGGGGCATATAAGTAGCTTAGGTTTAAGGTGGTGCCTGAGGGGCATTAGGGAAGCGCAGGTATCTCATTGCTATTCATTTCCTGCCAGAGGCAAATTCCTAGGGGTGGGGAAGATAAGAGCCACAGGTAAATTCCTAGGGGCAGGGAAGACAGAGCTCCTTGGTTCTGCCTCTAAGGCTTTACCTGCTAGTGTCCTGTCTGGGCCAAAAGCATTTCACACAGTATCTTGCCTAAATAACCTGATTACACACATGAATCTAAAACTACATTCAGATCATATCGAGGAGCTATTGTAATCACAAGCCTTGCTTCCCATTAATTTTCAACAGCAGGGCAGCACTAAGAAATGACCCAGGGAATCTCTGGCATGTCAAACACCCTCTTCCCTTCTGGTGAGAGTCCTCAGGCATTCTTCCCTTTTCCTTTTCCTCCTCAACAGCTACATTCCCCTCTGTTGCAGCCCTGCAATTCACAGCTCCCCTGGGGTCACCCCTCTGGCCAAAGGCTTCATATCCCCCTGCTGGCTCTGCACTTTTAATTCCCAGTGTAGAGCTGGCCAGAAGCCCTCCCCAGTAATCATGCCACCATGTCAGCACCATCATGCATGGGAATTTCTCTGCCACCAGGGAGTGTCTCCAAAATGCAGACCAACTTCCTGCCAAAGTACAGCAAACATCATCTCTCTCCAGCAGCCAGGGTGGTCCTTAATGCAAGCCTTCTGAGCTGCCTCCTGGCTGGTAGCTTCTCCACCTGTACTCTGCTCTCCATGCTCTGGCCAGAATCTCCCAGCATACAGGGGCTGCCTCTTTGGCCAGTGTCACCAAGCTTTTCCGCATCAATCCCCAAGGCTCTTACACCACATGGCCAGGCAGTAGCACAGCAATGGACCCTCTCCTGGTACCAGTTTCTGTATCAGTGTTTCACTAGAGAAACTGATATGACATAAGATCACAAATATAAAAGACTCACAAGCCTGGCTTATGATGGTCAGCCATGGAGCCGAATAAAGAACAGTGCAGAGAAGTCTGCATGCTGAAGACCAAAGCTTCCAGTCTACACTCCGGAGCTGCCGTGTCCCAGGCAAATGCACGTCAGTAGTCTGAAGAGTCTGTACCAGAAGGCTGAGGACTAACGGGTTCATGGCAGAAGCTGAAGAGTCTGTGCTGGAGGCCAGGAGATGACATCCAAGCAGAGAAAAACACTGGAGCTCCTCCAGAACACGGAAACCAGTCCCGCCTTCCTCATGGCTCCTTCATACAACTCCATGCTGCAAGCTGGAGTGCAGGATTGCTGAGCTGCTTTAGTGAAGCTTCTGCACTTCTCAAACTGATCTTGTCAGTGAACCATTGCCTACACGCTTGTATTCCCACCTTTGTTCTTCCAGGGGAGATCCCCAGGCTTTCCATCATCAGTGCCCTGACTATGAATTCAGTAACTCACCCATGGCGTTGCCTGCCACAGAGAAAGATTGATGACCTATTTATTCCTTAGGTGGGTCCAGCATCTCAATAATACTAGGTGGTTCGTACCCAAAGGTGTCTCTGTGCATCCCAGTGCCTTACAGTCCTGTGATTGTGATGAAGTGTCCTGGAGGATCTCCCCACACAGTTTGGGAATCACAGTCTGGTAGGACCCAAGCTGTAGCCCAAATGTACAGGGTTGAGTGGGGAGGACGGTGAGAGGATGGAAAATAAAGAGGAGAGGAAAGCTGGGGTCCAGTGGAGCCCTCTCTCCTAATGGGATAGAAGGAACTGCCCAGCCAGTGTTGTACAGTTATTTATACACTCAGGAGAAGGATGTCAGGATCTGCCCTGCTGCCAGCTACCTGTCTACCTGGCTGGCTGGGCTCTGCCTTAGTGGAGCTGGGGTGGCTGGTTTACCTGGCTTGCTTTGGGCTCTGGGTTCTCAGGGCTGGCCTTGCTTTAGCCCCACACACCTGATCGATCTTCAGCTTCAGTGGCTCCCTACAGGCTTACACTCTTGAGTCATTTTTTAACCTGCACATCTCTCCAGGGGCTCCTCTGTGACTTAGGTAATTCCATCCAAGGATTCAGTGGAGGGAATGCAGTCTCCATGGACCCGGCATGGTGCTGCCTTTGCAGGGATGAGGCCCCTGCTCCTAAGATGGCAGCCAGCAGCCTTCTTCGCCTCCCACCCCCACCTGGTCTCACAACAGGTGTCTGTGGGCAAGAGCTCCAGGGAGATAAAGTGGGGAGGAGCCCAGCGAGGCGGGGCTCAGGCTGCGCCTATGGAGATGGTGGAGTCTGGGCCCAAGCAGCAGAGGCCTGTGGATCCCATAACCTGTCCTTACATCCACCATGACACCTCATGTGGACCTCGTGCCACCACCATTCTTTCCCCGCCGAGAATACCCTCTGCCCTGGTGCAGACGCCACCGTCCTGTGTGTTTCAGACCCCGGGCACTGCTGCACTGGTCACACTGATAACTCTCTCTGTTGCTTGCTGATCTCTGGGCCTTAAACCAACTTATCATTAGGTGCTGAAACTCAGTGGCCTCACCAGCTCCCTGAGGCTGTCTTTGTCACTGCTGTCCCTCCACAGGATACCGACCGCCCTCTGCAACCCAGGCAGCATCCTCTCTGAGGTGGGTGAGTCTCTAGTGTCCTCCAGGGGATTTTGCTGTTTTCCTCTGTCTGTCCACCTGAAAATCGTAGAGTTAGGTCTCCACACTGGGGCACTGTCCCCTTGGCCTCCCCCTTCAGGAGCTGGGGACTCTGGTCTCCTGCAGGTAGCCAACATTACCAGCACAACCTCTGGAGTCCTGGGACTCCCGTCTCTCAGCTCTTTTCCTGCCCTCTGCCTGGGGAGAGGAGACCCCAGCCACTCTGCCACAGGCAATTCTGGCTCCTCTCTGCCCACCCAAGGCCTTCTCTCCTTCTGTCCCTTAGAACCCTAAAGTCTCTGTCCAGGAGGGGACGCATCAAACCAAAACATTATTTTCCTCCACAACATGGTTCCATAACTAATAATCAGTCACCTCCACGTGGACCCTTGGACCCCCACGCACTTCAGAACTCAGACAGTGCTTGCAGTGACAAGCAGTTTGAAGCATTGGGTTGCAGGTTTATCTGTAGGTTCCCACCTGCCTCTCAGTCCTGTGCTGTTTTTTAGACTCTTCTTCCTCTCTGTCACATCTCTGTGTCCTTGAACCTCAGTTCTACCCTGGCACTGCGCCCCCAGGGGATAGGTCCCAGTCTCAGTCCCCCTAGCTCTGTGTCATCAAGGCCTCTTCCCCCTCTTCACCTGCTTTCTCTGCCCCACACCTGGGCTCCCTCCTGACCCTGATCCTGAGTGGGATCTGGGCTCCCCCTCCAGGAGGGGCAGGGAGAGGGTGCCAGCCACACTCCTGTTCCTTGCTGCCTGTTTGACACAGTCTGCCCTGCTCCAGACCCCCTCACAATGTTTCTTCCTCTCTGCCTTCTGACTTGGGGTGGCAGAGCTGTGCACTGTGAAAACACCAGAAGCACCCCAGGAGATCACTGCCATGATTTACCTAAAGTGCCCCACGGTACCCTAGGAACAGATGTGCCTTGAGTGGGCCATCAGTTTTCTGCTGTCCACTGTGATACTGGCCTTGGACTCGGCCTCCCGAGGGCTGGTTCTATAGGTGAAAGAAAAAAAACAAGAGTAAGTCTAGGGATTTGGTCTGGAAAAGGACTCACCAGACATGAGAACCACACAGACTGTTCCCAGGCTGGCCCCGGGTGGCTGTGGTCTAGTTGGGACAAAGTTAGGGCGATGGTTTAAAGAGAATGATCTTTAGTGACACAGTGCAGCCTCAGTAGACATTGGGAAACCAGGAAAACCGACCAAAAGCTGGATCTCTTGATTTTAGTGCCATCTCCAGCCAGATCTCCTCTATGAAAGGGAAGCGGAGGAGCCCTGGGTCTCTGCTCTTATGAGTCTATGCCAGGAACCTGGCCTGGGGAGCTCCTGTCACACCCCGTAGGCCTGCAGCATGTGACACAGGCGTCCCCACAGACCCCTGCTTCCAACCACCTTGCTGTTGGGGCCCTGCCCCTTCCCATGCCTGGTGTGGGACCCTGGATACCTGATGAGCACACTCCCACCCCCACCCCATTTCTGGAGCCAGCTGACAACGCTCTGTCCCCTGCTGTGTGCCTGCACCTCCATTTGTGCCAGCTCCTGCCAGCAATCATGACCCAGCAGGGCTGAGATTGGGAACTCAGCAAGCGCCCCACTTCAAACTGGGGCCTCTGTTCCCTTAAGGATGTGTTGGGGGGCTGGAGCCAAATCACAACACAGTTCCCTCCTCAGGGACAGATGTGTTGATGCACAGGAAGGCTTGGCCGTGTCTCTGAGCATCCTGTGAATTTAGGACAGTTTATTAAATCCAGCATAATTTGTTCTGACTGGGAGGGGCACTTCTATGGCAGCCTGTGTCAGGTCAGTCTATGGTCCCTCTCCACCCATGGGGACGTTTGTCCCTCAGCAGTGGCCTTGTGAGGGATCACATCAGCTGTGGCTTTTGGATTCTTCCAGCAGGGCCATGTGGGCGCAGCTCTGCGTGGGGCTGAGGGCTGTGGATAGGAGGAGGCCCTGGTGATAGCCCCATGCCTGGGGTTCAGTGCCACCTCTTATGTCGTTTGGGTCTCTCCTGTGTCCTCAGGTAAGCCATCAGCTTCAGAACAATGCTGGGCGTCCCCCTGCAGGACCTGTTGAGAAGTGGGGTGCTGTCCATGCAGAGTAGGAGCAAATGGCAGGACTGATCTCTGTTCAAGGCCAGAGATGTTTGCAGTCATGTGGAGCTGTGCTTCTGTTTCCTAGGTGAAGCAAAGCTGTCCTCACTGCTGGACGCACACGAGTGTGAGTGCCCACTGTGGGAAAGGGGAGCCTCTCTTCCCACTGGTGGGGACAGCCATGTCCTTGGTGGGTGGGGCTTCAGACTGGGTGAAACCTACTCCCTGCTTGCTGTGATGCCCTTGTGTGTGACAGGCAGTGAGTTAGATGGAAATATCACAGGCAGGCAGGGCTGGGCCCCGGAGGAGCCCCTGCAGAAACCCAGAGACCTCACAGCCTTAGATGACACAGACACTAAGATCTGCTGTGGGCCAGATCTCAGGACAAAAGCTCCAATAAGTACACCCACAACCTAAGGATAAGCATGAGGGATTGATATTCTGTGGATCAGCTGAGGAAGCCAGGAGTCCCCAGCCCAATCCCTGCAGGAAGAGTTGCTGCTCGAAGCGTGCCCGGTTGCTATGGGACTTGAAACCCAACCTTGATGTTCAGCACAGGGACTACCCAGGAGACTTTGCTGGTCATGCTTCAAATCTCTTATTGCCTAAGTCATTTTATATCACTTGCTGCCTTCACCGTGTTGAAGGTAATTGCTTTTTTTGTCCTTTACTCCTGAAACAAAGGCAATAATTGAGAAAACTGAAAACTCTTAGTTTTTAGTATCTCAATATTTAGGCAAACTTTTACTTTTTGAACCCTAATGAAATAACAAAATTATGTAAGTGAGAAGTCATCCTATAAGACTGGTAAATCAGACACTATCCCTTGAGCCTAGCCTGTTTCAGACTGCCGCGCCTAGCCATCGGTGTGCAGAGGAGGGGCTGGGCAGATCTGAGGTGCCTGCATCGGCCTCTCTGTGTGTCTGGAGGACTGTGGATATCTCAGCAAGCAGGGAGGGATCACAGGTTCCTGAGGCACCACAGCCTGTGGTGAGTGCTCAGCACAATCTGCCCAGAGCCCAGACTGTTTGGGTCCTTCCAGGCTTCCAGGTACAGTGAAGTGGAGAGGTGGGTTTGAGGCATCTACATCTGCCTCCACATCCCTGCTGCGATTGGGGAGCTGTAGAGCTTCCAAGGGGGAGGTGGGTTCACAGTGTCCCTGAGGCCCAGCTTGTCTGGAACTGTGGAGTTCAGAGAAGGCAGAGGAGGGCCATTGGTTCTGCAGGCCCAGTGGCTTGGGGTAGCGTGGTGCCAGAGTCTCTGTAGCTGCAAACATAGAAGGGGATTTTCAACAGATCCTGAGGAAGCTTTCAAATAACACTTGAAACACAGAAATATAGGAAAATGACAAAACGAAAGACCAAATTACAACCTCAAGCCTCCAGCCCATCTCATGAAACCCTAGGAGCAATGTATATAGAAGAAAATATATGCCATTCACCTCAAATATCGGACACAATAGCTACTGAAATTCACAAGCAACTCCAGAAAGCTTTAAAGAAATTCAAACTTGAAATAATCTCCCAGATAAAAGAAGAAATGATAAAAGAAATGAAAGAGATTCTGAATATATCTAAAGAAAACACAGATAAAAAATTGGAGGAACTAAACAAAAAGATAGACTTCCTAGACGAGCAATATAAGAAACAAACAGAATACATAATGCAGATGCACAGAGATACACAGGAAATAAAAAACTACACTGAAAGTTGTAAAAACCGCCTTAATGAAAGTGAAGATAGAATTTCAGACCTTGAAGACAGGATTGCAGCTAGTGAACAGGAAAGGGAAGATCTTTTAAAAATAACAAGGAATCAGGAAACAACAATTCAACAACTGCGAAACGATGCAAAGAAGAATAACATAAGAATGATAGGGATTAATGAAAAAGAAGGAGACAACATAAAGGATGTCAAGAGGATATTTAGAGAAGTAATAGCTGAAAATTTCCCAAGCATGAGATCAGAAACCGACATCAGGATCAGTGAAGCATATAGAACTCCAAATAGTCATAACCAAAATAAAACTACACCCAGACATATAATAATCACCATCCCAGAAATCCAACACAAGAATAGATTATTAAAAGCTGTCAGAGAGAAAAGACAGATCACTTATAAAGGAAAACCTATCAGAATCACAGCAGACAGCTCAGCACAAACAAATCAAGAAGAGCATGGAGTAAAGTATTCCAGATCCTAAAGCAAATGATTTCCAACCTAGACTGATATATCCTGCAAAACTATCATTCAAAATTGATGGTGGAATACAATATTTCCATGACAAAAAACAGCTGCAGAACTTCATGAACACCAAACCAACCCTGCTAAAAATATTGAAAGACAGTTTAGATACACAAAGGAAAAAACCACTAAGCAAAGCAAATAATTAAACAGAACAGAAAGATTAAGATGCAACAGCAGAGAGATAACATTCCAACAATAAACCAGCATTTAACAGTAATAACCATTAATGTAAATGGTCTCAATGCACCAGTCAAAAGAAACAGACTAGCAGAGTGGATCAAGAAACAAAATCCAACCATATGCTGTTTACAGGAAACCCATCTAACCCAGAAGGATACTCACAGACTGAAAGTCAAAGGATGGAAAACAATACTTCATGCAGCAGGAATCCAAAAAAAGGCAGGAGTAGCCATTCTGTTTGCAGACAATGTGAACTTTAAACCAACAATGACCATAAAGGACAAAGAAGGTCACTACATACTCGTAAGGGGAAAACTCCAAGAGGAAGAAATAACTATCTTAAATATATATGCACCAAACTCCAGAGCACCCAGTTATATAAAACAACTATTAACAGAAATGAAAACTCAAATTATCAGTAACACAATTGTAACAGGAGACCTTAATATGCCATTGACACCAAGGGACAGATCAACCGGACAGAAAATGAGCAAAGAAATAACAGAACTGAATCACACCTGTGAACAAATGGGTTTGATAGACATATACAGAATGTTCCACCCAACAACATCAGAATACACATTCTTCTCAGCAGTACATGGATCATTCTCTAAAATAGACCATATATTAGCTCACAGAACATATTTAAACAAGTGCAAAAGAGTTGAAATCATCCCTTGCATGTTATCGGATCATAGCACTCTGAAATTAGAAATTAATGATAAAAGATACTGCAAAAATCCCGCAAACACATGGAAACTGAATAACACACTCTTGAGTAATCAGTGGATCACAGAAGAAATTAAAGAAGAAATTAAACAATACCTAAAAGAAAATGAAAATGCAGATACAACATACCGGAATCTGTGGGATGCAATGAAAGCCATCCTGAGAGGAAAATTTATTGCACTGAGTTCCTACATCAAGAAACAGAATGAATACAAATAAATAACTTGATGCTACCCCTCAAACAGCTAGAAAAAGAAGAGCAAGTCAAGCCCAAAGCCAAAAGAAGACAGGAAATTATAAAAATCAGAGCAGAAATCAATGCAATAGAGAATAAGAAAACAATCCAAAGAATCAACGAATCAAAGAGTTGGTTCTTTGAAAGAATAAATAAAATCGATAAGCCCCTAGCCAACCTTACTTTAAAAAGGGAAGAAAACGCTCAAATTCATGCAATAAGAAATGAAAAAGGTGAAATTACTACAGACCCAATAGAAATACAGAAGATCTTCAACACCTATTTGGAAAACCTCTACTCTCAAAAGTTTGATAACACAGAAGAAATAGACAGATTCTTAAAAACATATGAAGTACCAAAGCTAGATCAAGAGGATGTAAAACTGTTGAATAACCCAATCTCTGTTAATGAAATTGAAAATGTAATTAAGTCCTTACCCACCAAGAAGAGCCCAGGCCCAGATGGATTCACTGCAGAATTCCACAAGAAATACAAAGAAAACCTAATGCCA